TTCTAGCAATGAGTAACAGAATAACAGAAGACTGAGCCTATCAAAAGAACAAATATCCCCTCTCATTCCATAATTGTGCATGGTCCAAGAAGAAGGTAAAAGAATTGCACAGAGTGTAATGACATCAACAAAACTCTTTCAAAAAGTTAAGTTCAAATGCAAAGAAAAATGTTAATGTTCTTGTTCAATTACAGATGGAGGTGAATGCAACAGAAAGTATAGAAAGTTAAAGATGATTGCGTTAGAGATCATTGGCGTATTCTACATAAAACTGCAAACTGAAATAAATCCAGGCCAGGGACATTACGCCAAGAACAATGGTTGTCTGTGTAGCCCTGAGACCAAGAAGAAATCAACATGTCATTACCAAAGAACACAGAAGTGTGTGTTACTTACATTCAATAGCAAAACATTGCCACTAGCTTTGAATAGTATGGAAGAGACGGATGAGAAAGTTTGGGAGTAAAGGCCAAGAAGGCCTGTAGAATCCACAGACACAGGGAAGCAAATGGGAAATTTGTTGCACCCCCAGGTTTAGAAACAATCATGGAAGGAGTCTAACCCACTTTCACACGTGATTTTTAACTAGCTCAACCACCACTCTCTATTTTCTTAGCAAATCGTTTGGTTGGATAGTTTAGCGATCCGGGCAAGCTGAGACACTTGCAAGCTGAAAGAGTAGACTCAGAAACAAAAACAACTGATGATTCAAGACAAACCTTTTCAGTTCCTTTTGTTTTATTACCACTAGCTGTCTCATAACATCAAGTAAAACGGCAGGCTGAAAATCATGTTTGTTGTGTAATCAATCCATAAAAACAAACTACATATGATGGAAAGCACAGCAGGGTTTGTTAAACAATCTTCATTTTACTCTGGCATTCTGAGTTTTCAAAATGCTTGCAGAGTATGAAAAACAAACAAATTTTCTTAAGGAAAAAGAAACCATAAGAATTTGTAGAAGTGTTTTACATATAATCTTTATAGATGACACACTTTACAGAAAAGAAGAAAAAAACTCCACCTTCAAGACAAAAGTACTAAGATTATACCCAAACAACGAAGTGTGCCTCAGTACTGCAATTCTCCAGCCATCTGAGGCTTCCGTATAAATTGTTAATATGGAGGAAGAAGAAAAGGCAGCTAGGGAATGTAAACCTTGCCATGTATATTTTTATATTAATGCCTATACTCTTAATACTAAATCCTTAAGCATAAGCTTTAAACCACCCAGCATGAAAAATTCAAGAAAAGAAAAGAAATAGAAACAAATAGACTTTTGGACAGAGAAATAAATAATGAAGAGAGGAAAGTAGAAGCCTATTAAAACAATAGAACGAAGATTGTTTGGCTCAAGATATGAGGCAAACAGGCTCTTAATAAATGTCATTGGTTGAGGTGTGGCATACTTCTTACACAAAGAGGAAACTCTAGAAGGAAATCCAAGCCTGAGTCTAATTTTTGCCTGGTCTGTGCTTGATTCTGAATGCTCTCTGTCCACACCACTCCTACACCTTCAGGAAGCCTGGCAGATGTCACAGATCTGCCCACGCTCATCTGGAGGTCCCACAAGAACTGTCAGGGTTGTAAGCGCCCTTAAATTAGACACAGAACCCTGAAATCATCAGTCCTGGTTAATTCTGGCCCCCGTGTGCCGTAGACTTGACTGGTAATTTAGTACTTAAGGATATAAGTCAATGACGCAATCTTCAGCCTAAGAATAAGTTTCAAGTATTGACTGTTAGAGGGATAGAATGAGAACTCACCTTGGCCACACGTGGTGTTTCTACTGCTGTATTTTAAACTTCATGCAGCAAACAGAGCAAATGCTCATGAAAGCAGGAAGTATTTTTGATGTCCATCTGTTTTAAAATAAATGAGATGATTACATATTGGCCACAACATTTTCAGAAAAACACAGCCTATTTTCAAAATCATGTTGTTTCCCCAAAAATAAGACCCAAGAAAATAGTACATACACACTTTATGTATCTGCAAGAAATAGTGATAAAAGAAACTGCCTGACATTTACTCTTCTATTTACTGTCTTCCCTTCATAATCTTTTGAAGTGTGAATATAGCTGATAGCTCAGAGCTATGTACCTAGTATAATATGATGGTACTGTACAAAATTGGAGTAGTAATGTTATCATTATGTTTGAAAATGGCACTTTTAAGAGTTTCCCCTAGTAAAAATATACACTCTGGGCACTAAAATAAATTTATATTATGTCAGTAAAAATGGGAAAAAAATGTGAAGTGTATAAAATAAGGAAATAATCAACAGGTTATTTACCAGAATAGAAAAGAAAAGATTATTTTTTTTCAGAAAATCACCAAACACCAAAGCACTGTCATTTTGATTAATTGCAACACGCTATTCATTGCTCTGAATTTCCATTTTGGGAAATAGTTGTGGTTTATGACATATAGTTGTTCCTGAAAGTAACATTAGGACATATTGTAGCCTAGAAGCTGATAGGAATTCCAGGTGACTCATAATGATGTCTACAGATGTTTGGTCTACAGTTCTATTGAGTTAACAGGAGTCATTTTCAGACTCAGAATCATCACAGACTACTTGATCTTGAGCTATAATACTACTTATATTTATAATTCTCTGACAACTGGGTTAAATAATTTGTATCAGCTGTGACCTCTTGAACAATGAGTGTGTCTCAAACACTAGTCCATGGCACAAAGCTACCCTTCAGCTGTACTGACATATACATACTCAAACACAAACACATACATGCATGCACACACATGCACACACAGACACACAGACACTCTCATACACAAACACACAGCTAACATCGTTTTTAAGCACTGCTTACCTTTATGGCATGTAAAGTTTGTTAGGATTTCTCTGATAGATTTATTTCATTTCCATGTTTGGAAAAGGAAACATCTCTTTGACAAATAGTTACAAATTTGAAAAGTCACCGCTAAATATACTGGTGCATTAGAACAAATGGTTAACTATGTAAGCAATATAGTTTTAATTAAGTACATAACAATTTGTTAATACAAAATGTAAGGAAATTATCAATAATATTCTTGACAACAGATGCATTTCTGTGGAATGTAGCAACACAGAAATGGATCAAGTGCGTGTTTTCCCCTAAGAATTACCAAAAGTTAAACCTGGCAAAAATATTGCAACCTTTGACTCATTCCACTTTCCAATTTGTTTTGAGTTAACCACGTTACATTTCTGGTATGACTATTTTAATTCTTAGCATTGAAATAGCAGTATTCCCATTGGGTTTAAAATTACTTATGTGGACTATTGTAAGAATTACTTCTTGTAAGAATGACGCACAGAAGCATATATGTTATCCAAATCCCAAAAGAGGACTATGAAGGCACTCCTAAAAGTTTCCTTTTCACTCACTGGAGTAAGGGTGTAGTCAGGATTGAACATTTGGGAAAGGCTTTGATTGCTGTGAAAAAATAGAATGGGCTATACTCTTAATGTTTACAAATTTCTTAAAACAGGTGAAAGTCAGATTTAGTATATTTGAGCTAAAGTCTTATTTGATTTCCTTGGTGGAATGATTTGGAAAAAAATACTGACTTTTCAGAAACACCAGTAATTCGCAGAATGCCTTGCTGGTTTTCTGTGCCAGGTGAGCCAGGAAAGCCAGAAGAAAAAGTTCCCTTATGATTCTGTTTGCTGCTAGCAGGTCATCAGGAAGCTTGACTGAAGGTCAGTTTTAAATTTTAGCATATCAATTTGCAGTCCTTAAGAAGACATACTACACATTTTTATATTTGTGAAACAACTTTTCAAATAATCTTCCTATTATCATGGACTTAATTTCCTTGATTTTTCATGATTCATTTCCAAGTGTGTTTTTAAATGATCTAATGATCTTGATATATGATTTATCATGTAAGCATTGTATTAATATTATATTATATATTGTAATATATTATCTAGTACTGTATATACATGCAAAGTAATATTCTAACATCAGTTCATCTCCCTACCTTCATCCCCGGCCTTGTCCTTGCCCGTTCCTAGTGTAAGAGACAGAGCACTGGGTAAGAGAAACAAACAGACCAGACTACATCTCCTTGACATTCTACACAATATCATCACAACATCTCTTAGCACCAATGCAGGACGTAGCAAACATGACTCATTTAACATCGTCAAGGCCAGACTTTTTCACCTTAACAAGCCGCTATCATTAAGGAAGGAGAAATGAGAAAGCTGAATGCAAAGGTTATGTCCTCCAGTTAAAACATAAGCTGGCTAGAGCACAGGCATGTACCATTGTGATATATGCATCTATCATCATAATTCAGAACAAACTGATGTTAAATAAATGTCACATTTAAATTTTGATTATTCTTTGGGTTGACAGATTCTAGTCCCATATGTTTTTTTTTCTTTTTTCACTATTGCATATTAGAAGGAACTGTTCTAATACTTAAAACTGATATCTCATCCTTTTTGCATTCAAAAAAAAAGTTCACTATCATATGTCAGACTAGAAAACTTACCAAAGTATTAACATCAAGAATCAAATTGTTTCTTCCTCCTTTGCTTCTCTTCAAGAGAACTAGTGGGAACTGATCTCAGTGTGTCTCGGTATGTGTGGATATTCGAGCAAAGTCAAAACAGACTTCCACAGAGTTTTATAGAAGCTATGGCAATCTAGATGGACCATGTATCTAACATAAAGACCCAAGTTATCAGCAGATACCACTAGGATACTGTCATTTTAACAAGACTAGGTTCCATGGATATCAACAACCATGTAAACATAAACAGGAACACACTTTTTTGGTTCTAGCTATCACGTTTCTCCTCTTTTTCAGATAATGCTTAAAGGACTCTGCAGAATTTCTTGGTATTGGACAGAGAGTCTCTGCTGTTGCCTTCCTAGTCCACTGCTTACAGGATTGGACTCATCTGTGACCACTTCGAGAATCTCCCATGATTTGCAATGGTTACATGAATGCTTGGGAAGAAAAATTTGCAACATCTTACTACTTGTTCTCCATGGCACCCTAGGGAAAGAAGCCGGAAAAAACTCACAAAGCACTGGTTTTTAAAATGAATCTTATTGTGAGGTTTCGGAGAAGCTTTCGAACACTTATTGTTCTTTTAGCTACTTTTTGCTTGGTGAGCATCCTCATTTCTGCCTACTTCTTATACTCTGGCTACAAACCGGAAATGACACTGATTGAAACTACTGCCGAAGCAGAATGTGCTGACATCAAAATCCTCCCTTATCGGTCCATAGAGCTGAAAACCGCCAAGCCTATTGACACGTCCAAAACCGACCCCACGATCCTCCTCTTTGTAGAGAGTCAATATTCTCAGCTCGGTCAAGATATTATAGCAATCTTGGAGTCCAGCCGTTTTCAGTACCAGATGGTCATTGCTCCAGGCAAGGGAGACATACCACCTCTTACCGATAGTGGCAAAGGGAAATACACGTTGATTATTTATGAAAATATTTTGAAATATGTCAGCATGGACTCATGGAACCGGGAGCTATTAGAAAAATACTGTATAGAATACAGTGTTAGCATAATTGGTTTTCATAAAGCCAACGAGAACAGCTTACCAACGACGCAACTGAAAGGTTTTCCTTTGAACTTATTCAATAATCTAGCTCTGAAGGACTGCTCTGTGAACCCACAGTCTCCTCTGCTGCACATTACCAAAGGCTCAAAGGTTGAAAGGGGACCTCTTCCTGGGGAAGACTGGACGATTTTCCAATATAACCATTCTACCTACCAGCCAGTGCTTTTAACGGAGTTACAGACAGAGAAACCCCTCCCTTTCTTGTCCAGCAAAACACTCTATGCCACAATAATTCAGGATCTGGGGCTCCATGATGGGATCCAGCGTGTTCTATTTGGTAACAACTTGAACTTTTGGCTACACAAGCTCATCTTCATAGACGCCATCTCCTTCTTGTCAGGGAAGAGGCTGAGTTTGTCCTTGGACAGGTACATCCTTGTGGACATTGATGACATATTTGTGGGGAAGGAGGGAACGAGGATGAATGTCAAAGATGTGAAGGTAAGATCGTGGATAAAGGATAACTTAATTTGTGATTTGTTGACTTTGTGGTTTTGATAAAATATAATCTTTAAAATACTTGATACCATAATCATTGATTCAAGCTACTGCTTACCTATTGTGCACACACACACATGAGCACAGATGTACACATGTGCATGCAAAGACGTCTCCTCTCTTTCTCTCTCTCTCTCTCTCTCTCTCTCTCTCTCTCTCTCTCTCTCTCTCTCTCTCTCTCCACAACAAAGTACAATAGAAACAACGAAATATCCCAGAGTGTAATTGAGCTGCATCCCTTGAGTTTGTGTTATGCCTTGTCAGTTCCAACCAAAAACCCAGAAATGATGCAAGCATCCTTTCAACTTTCCTGAAACATTTATACAATTGCAAATATTGGCATTAACAAAAATAGTTTAAAAGGGCTTGACCTTAAGAAGCTCTCATTTTTATCTCTTCTAATTTATGATATTGTTTTGGGTAAGAGAGCAGTATTGTTGTTGGGAGTATTTCATTACTCCCATGCAAACTGACCCTGTGACTGCTACTAAATACAGAAGAGGCCAACTACAAAGCTGAACAGGGTGATGCACTTCTATTCAAGCTACCTGGGAGACTGAAGCAAGAGTTAAAGACAAGCAGTCTAAAGAACATACCCAGAAGGAAAGAACAAAAGTAATAAAATATAGTACACAGGGTTAACTAGTCTGAAAATAATTTTCTAAGTTTCAGTCTGACATTCTCATATGCCATTTCAATGGTGTCTTGTCTTGGTTTGTATATAACTAAATTGACCCTGTGCAGAGTATTTTAGAAAATATAAACACAAATTTTAGTAGCATTAGTATTATATAAAAGGACTAAAGATTGCTGTGTTGCCTTTCTCAGTCTTGATATTTAGCTGTTGCCTTGCAAAGATGAACCCTGCAAGCTACTTCAAATAACAGCTTTAATCTAAAATGTTATGACCACTAGTAGATAAAGGATTCATACCAGTAACACTAGTTCACTTTTAAAAATAAAATTCAAAGTCTATGAAGGTCAGCAAACTCTTTCTAATGACTCTCTGAGCAAAACATCATGATATGGATACAAATAAATCATTTGGATCAGATACAAAGTGTTTAAGTGGTAGCAGTTGAGTGTTCTCTTTTTTAATGAATTTATTATTCCCTTCAATTAGTTCAAGTAACAATGTTTTATCTTAAATTTAAAAAAGGTCATGTGTTTCAAAATGCTCTCAGAGTGTTAAATTTCTAATTTGAAATCTGAGAACAGGAATTTATAATTTGGACCCAAAGAACAACATAAAACAAAAGATTGTTAACGTTTAACCTAAATTAGCAAACTCAAATCTAGCTAGGACATTCATTTGTAAGGAAAAGCTGATGGTTCTTCACCAATACTCACTAGATATGCAAAATACTGATGACTTCTTAAACTGTGTAACCCAAGCAAGATAATAGAATATTGAAACTCAACAAATTTGTGAAATTTTTATATAGAAAAAGAGCTGAACATCAGGCAGTGGTGGCAAACACCCTTAATCCCAGCACTTGGGAGGCAGAGGCATGCAGATTTCTGTGAGTTCAAGGTGAGCCTGCTTATATATTTACATAGGGCATAGCTCGATCTTGTGGTAGATCTATTTCCAACTTTTCGAGAAAATTCCACTCTGATTTTTATATCAGCTGTACCAGTTTACAATTACCTGCTTATTATAATTTTCTCCACATCCACACCTTCATTTATCATCAGATATATAATATGTTGTTTTATTTCTTTTCATTTATGTGGATGGGTGTTTGGGCTACATATCTGTCTTTGTGCCACATGTGTGCCTGATACCCATGGACGCCAGAGGAGGGCATCAGATCCCCTAAAATTGGAATCAGACGGTTGTAGGCTGTCTACTGTGAGGGTACTGTGGATTGAACAAGGGTCATCTAGCAGAACTGCCAGTGTTCTTAACTTCTGAGTGATCTCCCCAGTCCCAAGGCTGAGATCCTTACATATCTTCAAAAAAAAATGCATCTATTTCTCTTTGACTATCAACTATACATAAGACAAAATGGCATGATCTAATTGATGAAATTAAATTTATTCAAGGTTCTCTATGATCCACCCCAAATTTACCTCTTCTATACCTATCTTTACTACTTTGCAATATACAGTGTTCTTGTCTGATTAGTACACATTTCTACTCAACTAAATCTTCTGTATTTCTGCTACTGTAGTAAAGAGGCCGCTTGTTGGTTCCCAGCAGCTTAGCCGCAAAATAATCACACAGAAACTCTATTAATTAAACCACTGTCTGGCCCATTAACTCTAGCTTCTTATTGGCTAATGCTTACATATTAATTTAGCCTATTTCTATTAGCCTGTGTATCTCCACTTGGTTGTGGATTCCTGACTATAGTTCCAGTGTCTCTTTTCAGCGGGGCTGCATGGCTTCTCTCTAACTCTGCTCTTCATTCTCCCAGCATTTAGCTTAGTTTTCCCTGCCTAGCTCTGTTCCCCTATAGCTCTGCTATAGGCCCAACACATTTCCTTTATTTATCAATGGTAATCACAGCATACAGAGGGAAGTCCCACATCATGCTTCAATATAATTTATCAGCTTCAGTGTCACTACTAAAATTCATAATGTTCACATTTAAAATAATACAACTAAGTGTTATAAGGTAGAATAATGATTCCTAGAGGCTAGGAAGGAAAAGAGTGGGAACAGAAGGTTATTACACAGTAGGTACTAACGTCCCTTTAGGATGTAGAAGGTCTAGTGTTCTGCAGTCCAGTAGCTGGATGATTATAGTTCATAATGATCTGCTTTAAGTGTTGTGGCAAACTAGCAAGCAGGAGTCTAAAGTCCCCAACCATAAATGATTGGAAAATATTAATTGCCCTGACTTAATTATTTTAAAGTGCATATACTTTGAAACATCACACTATACCAGTGAATTCATAACATTATCACGTGTTAATTAAAAAGAAAAAATTAAAAGATATCTCAAGTCCCATTTCTTTTGCAAATGTGTCATGTTTTCTAATGACCTCAGCAGATGGTAACTTTTCTTTAACCTAAGCTCTTAATAATCACCAATCTCTTTCTTAACATCTTTATGAATATGAGACAACTTTAAACAACTTTTCTCATACATTTAATTGTGTCCTAAAATATGAAGGAAGCAACCTTAGATATGGATTGTAAAGTATTTAATTGAGAATTATTATACAATATTTAACGGTTAGTGAGTAAATACTTAATAAATCATAAAATCGTTGATTTATTTCCAGAGAATGGCTTAGGATAGTTTCCAATGTTTGGATTTGTGTTGCTGCCAGATGTGTATACCCAGAGAAAGAACAGAGAAGAAAGTATCTTAGATCAGGAGGGAGATGTACCATGATGGTGTTCATTACAGCACATGGAGAAGGGTGAGGGGCAGGCAGAATATAAACCCCAATATCCTGGGAAGGGGAGGGAAAGTGAAAATCCCTGGAAGCTCAGCCTGTTCTCCTCATCTAGGCTTCCCCAGGGGATAACTGCGCCGAGGACCTAACAAGATCAGCAGGTGTGCAGCAGTGGGCGTGAGGGGCGTTATTCCAACATCTTCATTTGGTACCATCAATAAATAAGTACCATCAGATGCTGTGCATATTGGTTCCTTTTCTACATAAACACTGATTCATGCTAAGAATTTACATCTTTTAGTACATCCAGTTTTAAAGGGCAGAAGAGAAAGGATCTACACAGAAAATTTTGACTAATTTAGCAAAGGTCTAGTAGTGCCCATGTGTGTGTGTAGGTGTGCAAATGCCACAGCGTGTTTGTGAAAGTCAGAGGACACCCTGAGGTGTCAATCTCGACTTCCTCGTTTGATACAAGTCCTCCTTCCTAGTTTGATGTTACATATACCAACCAGCACTTTCTAGTTTACTTGAAAGAACAGTCACCAGTCAGGATATATTTCATCGTAACTTTCTTTTCTTTAAATTCTTAACCTCAAGTACTCATGATGGTCTTTTTCCATTTGATTTCCATGAGGTAGCACAGTATATTTAGCTTAGTGAACTAAAAAGGCTGAATTTGCTCCATAAGGAGATATCTTTAAGGAAACAATGAGATCTTTTTCATTTAAAAATAAACTTTCAAAATCAGGTACAGGTAAACATTTTGCTGAGAATGAAAAACATAAAAAAAACTATGTACCATGAAAACATCCATCAAACTGGGTATTCATCAGAAAATATATTATATATGCTAAGTGAATAATTCAGTTTAATATGTGTTATTGTTCATTTGTGCACATTATCTTTTCTTTTAAATAAAATCTATAAAAATATTTCTGGGAGCACAGCATGGAGGTCCCTGTGCCCACAGATCTCCAAAGAAACCTTGAAGGTGAAGCACCTAGGATCGTTCTTTTAAAGGGAAGAGCACATAACCCATTTTTACAAAAGGCTGCAAATAGGAGGTAACTAAAAGTTTGGTTAATCTGTGTTATCTGTTGGACCAGGCTTTATCAAGGCCTCACAAGCAGGAGCAGAGATATCCAATAATCTAAATGACCCTTGCATTGGGAACTCCCCAAGCTCCCACAATCAGGATTGGAGATTTCAAATAATCTAATCAACCATTGCATTATCTATATAGCTAGGATCCCCGAAGCTCCCACAACCAGGATTGGAAATACTTAATAGTTAAGTGACCCTTACATTATCTGTATAGCTAGGAGCTCTGCCAACCTCCCACAAATAGAATGAGTCGTGGCTAATATCCCAAATGGTCTCTGTGCTATCTATATGATCCAAACCAGGCCAGAGAACTTCCCTAAACCCATAGACTGTTGAACCCATCTTCTTAGAAGAAATATGTACTGAGTTGAGTATCAGTCTAAGTTTTGTGTGTACTGGAGATTTATCACATCAAGAAACTTCCTTTTCAAATTACACTGTGTTTAAATTTGTTGGGGATAAACTGCCTGAGATCAGATACCCCA